GTTAATAATGAGAGTTATATCAATCCAATCTTATGTAGGGACGACTGTTGTGATAGTAATATAGTTTAATATCTAAGTTAAGGTTTAATGAGGTCACCTCTAGATTAGGCAAGATGTTGAGTTTACTGCTATTACTGCAGAACACAGTACTGTTATGCTATATTATGCTGTTAAAGACCGACATACTGCATATAGACAATAACCAAGGCATAAATTAATCACTGGCTGTATAAACGTATAATTTGTGAAAACCCTCGCAAAGATATCAGTTAACATCTTTCACGAAGTGTATCATAACCCTTAAATAAAACAAATGACGAATGACGCTTAGTGTCAACAATGCAGGAATTTGGCGGGTATTTTTTAGACCAAAGAAAATTGATCAACCATCAAATTTTTAAATGCTAGAGACACATTGGAAAGCAAATACATATTACACTAGCGATCACATTATAGACACAATTTTGTAGCTTGTGCGTTTGCCCGTAGTTTCAAAATATGTAGCGTAGATCGTGTTATCAGTTATTGGCCTAATTTATATTAAAAGTATTACAAATAATCTGTGGAATGCACAAAATGTAGATTTAAATTATGGTCTTTTCATGGTAGCTAAATAACATTTCAATAAATACTCGTAATAGAAACTCCGCAGCTAAAACTTGATCGTGGATAAGACCCATAGTGCCTTCCCGTTCACTCTGAATAAATACGCTTACGAAAGACAGTGATAGAAGATGCTAAATCTGTTAAAAAGTTTTCTCAAATATTCTTTAAATATTAGAAAATCAAAGATACAAAAATTTGGTATAGTCATCAGCACATTAACCGATAAAATTACGAATTACACTAAACGTATTGTATTGTAAAAATTTGGAATTCACTGTGGATTCGTCAATTTTGTGGTGATGTTACTGTATATTATGCAATAGCAAATTAATGTGAATATAGTTGAATACCTTGTACGATGATGAAATAATAAAAACAATTCTACGATCGAATATAAAACGCACAACAACATCGATATTAGGTGAATTTAGTCGCCATTTTTAGTCAAATGCCTCATTTAAATCTTCTCTATGTGTGTATTGTTGCAATGCAATATGTCTGACTCTTCTATTTTTTTTTTACATAGAAACGCTATTTTTACTAAAACAAATAACACGATTTGAATGTGTGTTTGACTAATTAAGTATATTATTACGTTTGCAGCTAAAATATGTTTAATTTTGTAATAAATTAATTATGGTATATAAAATTAGATAATAGTAGAAATGTAGAGAGAAATTAAATATAGCGAATGGTTTTACATGAATACAATTACTTTTCAATGCAACCTCGGTATTGAAACTATTATGTAATTTTAAAAAGTAGTTCATGCTTGTCATTAATATACACTTGAAAAAATAAGTGTATTGAATAAGGTGGCCCAAGTATAAAGAAACTAGTTTATAGTTGTCCAGGGCCTTAATTGCATATTTTCAATATCATATCATCGACTATTATTAACTTGGTAAATTCTAGTCAAAATGGTAATTTAGCTAAGGCGGTATGTGTAAATAACTTTTATTTTCCTATTACATTTAATTATGCTTTAAATTAACCAATTTGTGTTATATGAGATTGAAATATTTTTACATCATCATAGAATAATCGTTCAGTGATGAGAACATTGCCTTGCTTTTGATTGCAATTTATTTACATAGTTAACAGGCTCAAAGGATGTGTAAAATTATTATAAAAATCCGTGTAAATCGTGTAATTAAGATGCAAATTATATTTATGCCATCAATTGTATAATAAGTATATTATTTTTCTCGAGGATCGCATTATTTTTGTAAAAGAAACTGTACTTATCAATGTTATGTACCTGGCTTATGTACAACTGTACAATCATACAAGCAAATACTAAACTATACACGTGTATATTGTATAATATTATTATGTTGGAATAGATTGTAATTTGACACTGTATTAATGGTTTTATTAGAAAAAAAACTGACTATTATGCCCTTTTTACTCACATTCTATATATTTTTCTTGTGTTATCTAAAGTAAAATTACTAACATTATGAAAGAACGAAAGAAAAAAATATTTGACACCAAATTACATCAAATTCATCAATTATTACTTAAAACTTATTATGATCATTATTAAAAGTGCCAACAACAATATAATTCTAAATTACTTATTCATGACATTTTCTATTTTATTTGCTTTATACACCTAACTGTCCCTTTCAACCGCTAAAAAGTAGTGTCTAATAATAGTTCATGTATCTTTAAAATACATAAGTATACTTTAGAAGGCTAAATGAATATATTTATCAGACCCAATGTCATGGACGTTAAATCTGTGTTTCCTGAAATAAAGATTATTTTGTAAGATTACTGTCTTTTTATTCCACCATATCTTCACTGAAAATAATTATTTGATTTAGTTGTAAAAGTAAAAACACAGAAATATCTGAATTATCACAATGGAATAGAACTTTAGGAACGTTTCTACTGTTTATCCACCAGGGCGGCGCCACTGAATGCATTACGATTGTAAAAATTTTTTTGTGTTGGTAAACTTTTACCAAAAAAATACGTTGGCTTTTGTAGGAAACTGGTTTAGATTTTGATTTTAGTTTTCATGTAGAACGAACTTAAATTTTATTATATTAGTCGTAACGTAATAACTACGAAAACTATTTGAGCTGAACGATTACTATTCGGTTCGTGCTTTAGAAGTTAGTGTCAAAACATGTCAATAGATGGCGTTGTACCAATTCATACAAAAAGCTGTACCGCGGTGTCCAGATTTTTTTTCCCGCAAAGACTATCCCGACCAAACTTAAACAAAGCATACTTACCTGGCATAGGGGACACCGTGATCATGAAGGCGGTTCCCCCAGGGCGAGGCTGTTCCATTGCACTGCGGAACGGTTGACCCCTGCGATTATCCCTAATGCGGATAACTCGGATGCGTAATTTTTGGTAGTGGGGACTGCGTACGCGCCGTCCCCCCAGAAACTCTTGCTGAAAGCGGTTGGTCATGGTCAGTGTTGGTGAAGAAAATAATGTCATTTACCTACAATCCAAACGATATAAAATAGAAAATTACCTATCAAAATATTTATTAAATTAACAATACAGTGATGGAAATGGTGATCGATACGTTTTTGTTACCTACCCCACGACCTAACAAAATTAAATTTTATCGATCGACTGTCTTTTACCATAATGATAAGTTTTCCACATAAAGCGAGCGTCAGAAACCGCGTTCGAGAGTACTTAGTCCACAAACAATCAATTATTCGGCTACCTAGCTTGTTCCGAANCTAGGAAAATCCAAAATAATTCAGTTAAAATTGTTTTTGCCAAAGTCTAGGTTAGGTTAGACTGGTGTTCAGATGTTATAAAACAAAATTTGGTGACAATCAGCCTCAAATGGTTCGTGACACCCCAAGTCAAAAAGTTGTTACACAACCTTATTCCAATAGGCTAGTTTCCTAAAAAAAATTTTTTAGTCCGTCATGTTTAATATCAAAAAATATTGGACACATATATTTTTATTTGTCAATCTAACAACTAATTACATAGTTATGGTGCGTTGAAGTTCCGCACGACGTCACAACGTGCGGCACTTTTATGCACGCATTGACGTCACGGGCCTCTTCTTATGAACTTTGACTTTGACTGAAAAGATATACCAGTCAAAAACTCGTGTAGTCAAGTATGGTGTTCCCCAGGGCAGTGTTCTTGGTCCGCTGTTATTCTTGGTGTATATCAATGACTTTCCAAAAGCTACCAGTCACCCTATGGTCCTCTTTGCCGATGATTCAAATATTGTTTTTAGTTCAGATAATGTTTCTACTTTAACTTATGAGATTAACAATTCTCTACAGTGTTGTATTAAGTGGCTGCAATCCAATAATTTAATAATTAATTTAGACAAAACTAATGTGATGAATTTTAGAATTAAAGAGAATAACAAACCGAAACTTGACATTAAATTCCTTGACACAAATATTGACGAGACTGAGCAAGTTAAATTTCTTGGGTTGGATTTAGACAATAAATTAAGATGGACTTTTCAAATACAATCTTTATGCAAAAAACTAAGTAAGTTCTCTTATGCCCTATACATGTTGCGGAAGATATCCAATGAATCAACAGTATTAACGGCATATCACGGATACGTCGCGTCAATCTTACGATACGGGATAATCTTTTGGGGTAATGCTACTGACCGAGAGCTAGTGTTCAGAGCACAGAAGAGATGCGTACGTGCAATCTGCCAGCTAAAACCCACAGATACATGTAAACCTCACTTTATACGGTTGAACCTTCTAACTTTGCCATCTATGTATATTTATGAAGTTGCGGTCTTCGTCAGACAAAACCCAACATTATTCAGAAGTCATCACAGATCACGCGACAAGAATTTAATATGTAAGGATCCTTATAAGACAACTTTTTTTGCTAAGAATATTGTAGGCATGGCACCCAAGATTATAAATAAATTACCAAAAGACATTAGATTAATTGAACATCTAAATTCATTTAAAAAAACTTTACTGACTTATTTAATTAATAAATGTTATTATAATATATCTGAATTCTTTGACGATAAATCTAATTAGTTTATGTAACTGCCAAATTTTATTGTTGTCTGACAAATTGTATGCTCTTTGAGCGGAACATAGTGATACTACCTAATGTAACATGTCACCATTTTACCTATGATTCACAATAAATGATTTTGTATTGTATTGTATTGTATTGTATTGTTTGGCGCGCTTTATCTCTTTAAATTTTCATTAGTTTGAAAAAGTGAAAAATACGTGTAGAGTATTTTTTGATAAGTTAACTGACGGACTAATTAAAACTCTTGCTTTTTGACCCAGGAAACATCCCTATTGTAACAACGACAACGAACTTATTGGCTACTTTGGGTGTCACGAACTATTTGACGCTGACTGTACATAAATTAATTTTAAATACAATTTACTCACAAATCAACTCGTCCAGCGACGGTATAGTGTAGTAACCAGGGCGCGTCAGTTTGATTCCCGTCGGGTGCGGCGGCATTTCGCGCGGAGGCACGTTCTCTTCTTCTGAAACTGTTGGGAGAAAGGCAATTGGTGAAACACATAACCCTCTTTTTGGTGCAGTCGGGTGAAAAATCTCACTGCGTAAGGCCCGGTTTTCACCGAGGCGGAGCAGAGTGGAAAAATGTTTTGAATAACCAATTTCGTTCGGTCAATTTCATTCATTCTGAATGACATCTGATTGGTTCTTCAAAACATTTCTACGCTCCGCTTTGCCTCGATGGAAAACGGACCTAAACTGAAATTTTTAAACTTCCTACAAACTATAATAGAAAGGGCACGGGTCTTAACGCGATGTTTATTAATGAGTTACATATGTACTCACAGCTTGACGTTTATTAGCATAGCAGCCGAAACGAAACGTCAAGCCGTGAGCACATAATGTTACACTACGAAATGGAACGCGAAAGTTTAAAATCTTTCTACAAACGTTAAAAATGTGAAAGTTTGTGAGGATGTATGGATGATGGATGGATGCGGATGAAAAAATATATACGATATCCGAAACTTTTTCCCGTATACGAACGAGTGAATTTCAACTCTATTACTGTAAACTTAGAGCTTATAAATTCTAAGTATTCTAAACGTACACGAACGAACTAATTTCAACTCTATAAATCAAAATCAAAAATATTTATTCAGTTTAGACCACAAGTGGCACTTATGAACGTCAAATATATAAAAAAAAAAGAAAAGGTAGCCCTTATGGGGCACTTTACATGTCTCCTTATCTTTTGGGCCCTACCAGCGCTTCACTTTCAGGTCTCGGTCGCGCGGGGTGCGGGGAGTGTGGTCCGAGCAATCCGTAAGGCATTACTGTAGTGTGCGTGTGCACTCATGGATCATTTAGCGTGTACCGATAACACTCAAACATTAGCGGAAGTATGGTGGGGCGCGTCCGAGTGGATGAAACCAGAGTAAATACAAATGAGTAGGTCATCTTCATAGAAACGCACGGGCGCGGTTCGTACGAGCCAGTTGTGGTTGCGCCGAATTTTGTCAGTGTGTGCGTCATCATAATCATTTCAGCCATAGGACGTCCACTGCTGAACATAGGCCTCCCCTAATGCTTTCCACGTTGATCGACTGGTAGCGGTGTGTGTGCGCGCCGCATACGTATTGGCGCGCTCACATACAAACCGCGTTTGGTGCGTTTCTATGAAGATGACCTACTCATTTGTATTTACTCTGATGAAACGATCTATACCCCCAAACTAATTTCAACTCTACCGGTGTAAACTTAGAGCTCATCTAACCGTATACGCCTTGAATCTGGTGGGCAATCTTCTCACAGTTGCAGTGTTATACTAAAGCCTGGTCCGTGAGCACGTAGAATTTCGTCTAATGACCCCAAGCTACCCATCCTTTTCGCTCGCGCGTAATTATGTTGCTATCGCGCTCGCACACTCACTGCGGGCGCCCGTCGCACAGTTGCGACAGCAATATACACGCGAGCGATAAGGATGGGTAGCTTGGGGTCATTGGACGAAATTCTACGTGCTCGGCGACCGGACTATACCGCTATAAACTTAGAGCTCATCTAACCGTATACGCCTTGAATCTGATGGGCAATCTTCTCACAGTTGCAATGTTGGACGCCGCCGCGGTGGCAACAGAACTGAAGCAACTCGGATATACCTTGGATGGGAGAGGTAAGGAATATTATAGGGTATTTAGGGCAAAGGGAAATGGGTGTAAAGGCCAGGTTGGTGATATTTTTATTTATTAACTTTTTATCAGCCGGCGAGGCCCAGCTCTCGTACTGAGTGTATAAGTTTGAGTGTGAAAGCAAGTCCACCAAGAACAATAGTAAGTAAAACCTATTTTCTATTTGGGATAACAGATGGCGCTGTGCTCCTTTAGCTCGCGCTAACATTTGTTTTTTTCCTGCCTTTATATACCTCCTGGAAATGTGTGCCTACCCAGGTTCAACTATTAGCTTAGCTTGAATCTCAATAAATGATGCTATTGCCTGTAAAATAGCTATCATTTTCCCATGCACACTTCGCCATCGTAGGGTTGTACACTGAGCTCTCGGCGCTCTCTCTTGGCTTCGTCAAGCTGGTGGCGTACTTACAAGAGTCGGCGGCGTGAGGCCCAGCTCTCGTACTGAGCTCTTCTGCGAGGGTAGCGGCTTCGTCAAGCTGGTGGTATACTCACAAGAGTCTACTGCGTTGTGTTGCCCACTGCTGGGCTTGAGGCCCAGCTCTCGTACTGAGCTCTCCCGCTGTGAAGGCTTCGTCAAGCTGGTGGTATACTCACAAGAGTCTACTGCGTTGTGTTGCCCACTGCTGGGCTTGAGGCCCAGCTCTCGTACTGAGTAGAGATGAAACGGATATCCGGTAACTATCCGGTAGGCCGGATATCCGGCCTACATTTACTATCCGGCCGGATACCGGATAGTAACTCACTATCCGGCCGGATACCGGATATTAAAAAACTACGACAATTTCCTATTAATAAAATGAAATACATTAATCTTTAAGGTAAACATCAATAAAATGGCTTATTATAATGACGGCTTTTATTTAAAGTTCAAAAAGTTACAAAAAGCCATATTAAGGCCTTTAAAAAAACTAATTTCTTTTTCTGGGCTATTCACTCTAATGACGAATACATAAATAGTAAATATCTGTTAAGTCGAAATATTGCCAAATAAAATAGGCGATCTTTTTTCACTGATGGTCTGATGTCATGATGACGAGATATACCTGACATAAAATATATGTATCAAAACGCAACAATTAACCTAGAAATTAGCACGGCACTAAAGAAATATATTCAAAACTGCCACGCGGTCTCGTGCTAGATGGGCGTCTTAAAGGCCACCTTCTATCAACGGGAGCGCGTGGTAAGTAACTTGCTTCTGAATGTATGTAACTTCCTACTTTTTTATATTTTTTTATATTTTTAAACCGGCAGACAGTGGTGACTGAGTTTGTTGCGGCGCTTCTTCTCAGCAATTGCCAAATCTTTGTCTCGAAGCGCTGGTAGGGCAAAAAAAGAATGAGACATGTATAGGCTCCTTAAGAGCATTTGACGATTTGCAAGAACTAATTTAATTAGTCTAAACAAATAAAGATAATTTTGATTTTGATGCAGTTCAGTCAGATTACGCAGCAAGTAAACTAATTTAAGGACATCATCCATTTTGGTCCAAAATCAAAAGTGCCGGCCAAAAAATAAAAGTGCTGTATTCTGATAGAACACGTCTTAGCATTTGTTACTATGGCACCAAAGCTGTAACTCCACTGTAAAACAAATGATGTCTTGAGTGAATCTTGCCAAAACATGGCATTTATAAATGGCTTGGCATGACTTTGGTGCCATAGTGACAAATGCTAAGGCAGACGTGTTCTGNTGATGTGTAACTTCCTACTTTTTTATATTTTTTTATATTTTTAAACCGGCAGACAGTGGTGACTGAGTTTGTTGCGGCGCTTCTTCTCAGCAATTGCCAAATCTTTGTCTCGAAGCGCTGGTAGGGCAAAAAAAGAATGAGACATGTATAGGCTCCTTAAGAGCATTTGACGATTTGCAAGAACTAATTTAATTAGTCTAAACAAATAAAGATAATTTTGATTTTGATGCAGTTCAGTCAGATTACGCAGCAAGTAAACTAATTTAAGGACATCATCCATTTTGGTCCAAAATCAAAAGTGCCGGCCAAAAAATAAAAGTGCTGTATTCTGATAGAACACGTCTTNAAGCGAAGCCGTGAAACGTATCATTAGTCCTAATTAGGAACTAAATATTACATTTATAGAACTGTTCATAATATTTAAAATTTAGTCAATAAAGATATTTTATGTAATTGAATAATTCACTGTGTTTAAACGAGCAAATCAAAGTCTAAATTAGTGACCGCCATCTATTGACGTGCTTTTGACGGTCGTTAACATTCATGAGAGCGAAGCCGTGAAAAGTATCATTAAAAACTTGTAATGACATTTATTCATCAGAATAAAGTAAGCTATAGATGACCCACGCTGAACTGTCCCGCCAAACTCAATGACAGGGGGGCGCTACCATCGTTCAACTTTATGGTTTCCAACATGGCAAAAATCGGAACCAGCGATTCGGTATTGACGGTAGCGCCCCGCTGTCAATGTCATCGATAGGACAGTTCAGTATTTTGGAACTATATCGATATAGATGACCCACGCTGAACTGTCCCGCCAAACTCAATGACAGGGGGGCGCTACCATCGTTCAACTATATGGTTTCCAACATGGCAAAAATCTGAATCAGCGATCCGGTATTGACGGTGGCGCCCCACTGTCAATGTCATCGACAGGACAGTCCAGTATTTTGGAACTATAGGTAATTTTTTTTTTTTTCTTCTTTATGGTAGGTAATTTTTAAAAATGGAAATTGTGAAAAATGACGCAAAAAATCCATACGCTCATACGATTCAATGGCACGCAGAGACGCGATTGGGGTCTCCGCGGTGGTATATTTGGCGATTTATTCAAATAAAGTGTACGTGTTGTTAGAGTCATATCTTCTTCCAAGTAAAATATAAAAATGTATAAGTATTAATTTATTTACTTCTAACAATAAGGTATAACTTCTAACAATAAGACATTGCTATGAAAATCATTTCGATGTACACTTAATACTAGAGATGAAACGGATATCCAGCCTAAATTTACTATCCGGCCGGATACCGGATAGTAACTCACTATCCGGCCGGATACCGGATATTAAAAAACTACGACAATTTCCTATTAATAAAATGAAATACATTAAATCTTTGGGGTAAATAAATATCAATAAAATGGCTTATANTTCGTGCCGGCCTGTACGTACAGGAAAGCTGGTGTATCCTAATGTCACAGTATTTTGTTGATGAGACTCCGTCCGACTTTTTTTATAGGTCCATGGATCCAGAGTTACTTCTTCAAAAAATAGCCTTCAGGTTCAGAATGTCCAATTCCCAAAATGTCCAACGGTTTCAAAATGTCCAATTCCCAGAATGTCCATTTCCCGAAATGTCCAATTCCTGAAATGTCCAGTTCCCGAAACGTC